AGAACTGGACATTCATGACCTCAGGGTCTCTGGCCCCTTCTTTCTGTTGACTGTGGGTGGAATCTGAAATCTGTGCTCTTTCAAGGAACAACATGGGATTAGGACCCTCTATTGTCCATTTCCAGAGTGTCTATACAGTGAGAGGAATACAGCAGGGATATGTGTATCTTCAACATGTGAGGATCTTCACTCACATCTGAGGCGCAGCCCTATATTAAGGGATCATGAGCCAGGAATTCCTTCCTTCCCCAGGACACCTATGCAGAGAGCTACAGCTCTGCCCTGCTTCCCTCAAATTTATGGCAAGAGCAGGATTAGAAGTATGGTGATCTGCCACTGACTGAGAACACTGTAGCCTCCAAATCTCTTATGAAACTTGGGGAAGGAACCCCCAGAAAGAACCAGGGAGGCCTTCCTCCCTACTTCTTCACTGCTCAATTTAGAGTTAGGGGGATGAGGAGGAAACCCCAATCTAGATCCTCTAGAGACCTGACAAAGTACCCAATCCGGAAGCTTGTTGCCAGGGGAACTAGAGAGGTGGGCAGCACTATTTTGAGAGCAGGTGGAAAGCAGAGGTTTGATCCAGAGAGACATAGGCGTTGGGGGTAGGAGAAGGGAGCTCCAGAGGGGTGGGTACAACTGTGGTCCCTACTTCTTTCTGCCCCCTCTGCTCCACCCTTTTTGCCTTGTATTTGTGGAAGTGAGCATGGTGCTGGGTATTGTCTGAAGGAGTTAGCAGAGTTTCCGGTGTTATTGGGCAGGCGGGTGGGGGAAGCTGGAGAGGGCCAAGGGGTGAGGATATGTTCGGAAGGGGACATCAGTGGACCTGTGCCTAGGCTTGGCTACCCTTCTTTTCTCCTCCTCTTCTCTCCTACTTCATGACAAGGTGGGCGGGGGATGAGGGAGAAGCAGATGGAGTGTGGGAGCTGTGGGTTTGCCTTGCATAGGGAACAGGACTCCCTGGGCCTGGAAGGGAAAAGGCAGCCTGGCTGGAGTCAGTACAGAAGACTGGCAGGTTTGGCAGGGAAGGTAGGAGTTGGTGAGGGCAGGGCATTGCCCACTAGATCCATGAACCTTGGAATTGCAACCCAGCCAGGGGCAGTGGGTGTATACATGGGGCAAGGGAAGGAAGGAGCATAGTTTTTAGACTCACTGACACCTGGGTTTAAATCCCAGCTAATGCTGCTGGTGATTAACCTCTGTAAAATGAGGATAACTGAATCCACCTCTATAGGCTGTGAGGTGAAGTCAATGTAGAGTAGTTCCTTAGTACTCAGGGAGTGTTCTTTTCTCCCTGTCCTGGTCCCTACCCCAGCTGCCTCCCTGACATCTTCTGTCTGTGGGAGTCCTCTCTCCCATCTGCCAGTCTCACCCTCCTTTGTGCTTCTCCAGCTCATTTCTGGCATCAGTAACCCCGTCTTCCCTCTAGTCCAACCCTCAAGTTAGCTTTGGTTCAGGATTGTTCACCCCTCCAATTGCTCGATTTCAAACCATATCCAGATCCCCTCACTTCATTTTCTGCTTGAAGGGAAGCAGGAGGAGAAGGACTGGGAACAGGGGAAGAGTGTCTGAACACTCTGTGGCCATGGGGAGATGGGTGTCTGCATGTGGGTATGTCCCTTTCTGTAGCACCCGGCCCTCCCTTTACCCTCTCTACCCCACCCTCCCAGCCTGCAATGTGACTATCCACAACCGCTGTAAAGACACCCTGGCCAACTGTACCAAGGTCAAGCAGAAGGTGAGATGGCAGGGAGGGCAAAGGGCTGGGGGAGAGGGTAGTGAGTGTGGTACCCTCATGCCTTTTCATTCATTCCCTACCCTGTGTTCCTCAACCCATCTCATCAGACCCTCAGCCCCAGGCCTCAAGCCCTAGTGGACCAGGCCTACTGCTGTAGATATAGCCCCATACATATCACAGGGCTTAGCTACCCTGGTGGCCTTATCCACAGTGCCAGTTTTCTCCTGAGGGGGCAGTTGCCCAGCTCCTGCCCCATCTTGGGTCCTGGGGATGGGGATGACTCTTGGGTAACAGCTACTCTTGGTATCTTTCTCTTGTTCTCTGTCTCACAGCAACAGAAAGCTGCTCTGTTGAAGAACAACACTGCTTTGCAGTCTGTTTCTCTTCGCAGTAAGAGTGAGTAGAGGGGAAGTTGGGGAGCCCCAATAAGACCCTGGACCCCAGGCTGCTCTGCCTATGGGCTCTGCTGCCCCCATGAGGTCATACCCAGACACAGCACCTTCCTCTCAAGTGGAAGTGGCTAGACCCGGAAGTGGCTAGACCCGGAAGTGGCTAGAAGGAATTGTTCATACTCTTGGACTTTGAGTCAGGCTAGGAGAGTCCACATGGGATGAAGGATTGAGCTGGCTGGTCACTTGAGCCTGGCCGCATCCTATGTTATGCATTTGTACTTCATTTGGGGAGTGTTAGCGGCAGCTGTCAAATGTCAGTTCAGACAGCTTTGTTGTAACAGAAGGGGCATACTGCTCAGACGGACAACAGAGCTTGAGTCCCTATTCACCATTAGCTGGGTCACCCCATTCAGGTCCTTCCACCTTTCTGAGCTTCAGTCTGCTCATAGGTTTGTTTTGGGGAGAAGCTAAGACAAGAAAAAGCTCTTTGTGAACATTGAAGGATTGCACAAATGTAAGGTGGCATTATCGTTATTTGTGGTACCAACTTTCTTCAACTAGAAGGGGTTGCAGATGAAGCGGCAGAGTTTGCCTTTCTAGTGGAGAAGCCTGGGAGGCACAGAGTTTGATTTTTGTCTGCTCGGCCCCTCTCCTTGACAGCAACCACCCGGGAGCGGCCTACGTCTGCTATCTACCCCTCCGACAGCTTCCGGCAGTCTCTCCTTGGCTCCCGCCGTGGCCGCTCCTCTTTGTCTTTAGCCAAGAGTGTTTCCACCACCAACATTGCTGGGTGAGCTTCTGTTTGGGGAAGGGGAAGCCAGGCAGCATAATGTGGAGCCCAAATGGGGCTGAGAGGTCCTTTTCTATCCCTGAGTTCAGAATCGTAGACAGACGAGGAAGGAGAACTTAGGGTGACTGCCCCTCAGGTTCCCAGCCTTGGTTCCCCACCTGGGAAGGGATCTCCTGCCTGAGTGGGGGTGATGCAGACAGCCTCCACTTCCTTCAGACATTTCAATGATGAGTCTCCCCTGGGGCTGCGGCGGATCCTCTCCCAGTCCACAGACTCCCTCAACATGCGGAACAGAACCCTGTCAGTGGAATCCCTTATTGATGAAGGTAAGCATGCCTGGTGTGAGGAGAACTGGGCAAGATGGGGAGGGGCTCAGGATGAATGGCTGGGGGAGCAGCTTAAGAAGGTCATGGGGGAAGGGATCTAGAGAAGGGCCCAGAAATCGGAGAATTTGGCTGAGTTGCCACGCCACTGATGCCCAGGTGCAGAGGTAATCTACAATGAGCTAATGAGTGACTTTGAGATGGATGAGAAAGATTTTGCAGCTGATTCCTGGAGTCTTGCTGTGGATAGCAGCTTCCTACAGCAGCATAAAAAGGAGGTGATGAAGCAGCAGGATGTTATCTATGGTGAGCCAACTCCACAACTTCCTCTTCCTTTACCAAGTCCTGTTTGTCTATAACTTCCTTTTTGTTAGCTCCTACCTCTTGAGACCCTTGCCCTCCTCACCCATTAGTCTCCATGACCCTGCTGGCAGAGGTCTAGACTGACCTCTGAGCCTCCACCTCTTGGTGCTGTTGGTCTCCTAGACCCCATCTTTTGTTTTTTTTCTTTCTTTCTTTCTTTTGTTTTGTTTTTTTAGAAAGGGTTTTGCTATATATATAGCCCAGGTTGGCCTTGAACTTAACAATCTTCCTGCCTTAACCTCCTGAGTGCTAGAATTACAGGTGAGCACTACCATGCCCAGCTCCCAAAGTCCTATCTTTATCTCTATTTTATTTTATTTTTTGGTGTTCCTGGGGTTTGAACTCAGGGTCTCAAACTTGCTAGCAGGCACTCTACACTTGAGCCTCTCCGCCAGCCCTTTTTTGTGTTGGTTATTTTTGAGACACGGTCTCTTGAACTATTTTGTAGTGGCTGACTTTGAATCATGACCCTTCTGATCTCTGCTTCCTGAATAGTTGGGATTACAGGTGTGAGCCACTGACATCTGACTTTTTATCTCTTCTTTAATTCAGTCCTCAGTTTTCATTCTGCCCCTTCCATGCCCAACACCATACTGGGGATTATGGCAGGCCTAGATGTATAGAAGATACATGGTTCTTGCCTTAAAATAATTTGCAGCTTGGAATGACAAATACAAGGATAAAAAAATGATTAGAAAATCATTCAAGATCACACTAATGTGGATGTTGACCTGGAAGGGACTTGCCTAGGGCCCCACGAATTGTGGCCAAGCTAGAGTAGGCCAAATGACCCACTGTTCCACAGAGCTAATCCAGACAGAGCTGCACCATGTGAGGACCTGAAGATCATGACTCGCCTCTTCCGCACTGGGATGCTGGAAGAGCTGCAGTTGGAGCCAGGAGTGGTCCAGGGCCTATTCCCCTGTGTGGATGAGCTCAGTGACATCCATACACGCTTCCTCAGCCAACTGTTAGAGCGCCGACGCCAGGCCCTGTGCCCTGGCAGCACCCGGAACTTTGTCATCCATCGCTTGGGTGACCTGCTCATCAGCCAGGTAGGAAAAGGCAGGACCTCTGGGTAATGTTTGTGGAGCCAAATTCAAGGGGCTGGAGAAAAGCAGGGGAGAGGTGGAGAGACAGGAAGCCAGTCTGTTTGGCAGGACAGAGGTGTGCCCAGGAGATAAGATACAACTATGGGAGAAATGCTGACTTAGCCTTGCTCTCTTGACTTCTAGTTCTCAGGTCCCAGTGCAGAGCAGATGCGTAAGACCTACTCGGAGTTCTGCAGCCGCCACACCAAGGCCTTAAAACTCTATAAGGAACTGTATGCCCGAGACAAACGCTTCCAGCAGTTCATCCGGGTGAGCCAGCCTCTGCAGGACCCAGGCTCACAGCCTGGGCCCAAACTCAGCTACTGTCATTCATAGGATCACACGTCATGTGTAAACTGCCCAGCTAGAGGGCAGGCACTTGCTTACCCCTGTGGATCTGCCCACTCCTAGATCCTGTCAACCAGTAACTCTTCAGAGTGGGAAATTTTGCTGTACTAGTTTCGCATGTACTTTCATGACTTTGTCAGGTTGGTCCTCACCACAAACCTGGGGCACTGTTACCCCTATTTTTCAGATGTGGTCACCTAGGCTAGTGTGAGGTAAATGGCCAAAGCAAGACCAGCACCAGAGCTTAGACTCCCAGTCTTTCTGCCATCCTGAATCCCACCTCTTTCCTTTTAGAAAGTGACCCGTTCAGCTGTCCTGAAGCGGCATGGTGTGCAGGAGTGCATTTTGCTGGTGACTCAACGCATCACCAAGTACCCGGTGCTTATCAACCGTATCCTGCAGCATTCTCATGGTGAGGAGAGGCCCAGAGAAGGGAAGAGAGGGCTTTCTGGGGTGAGGAAAGGCTCAGGACAGCCAAGGGAAAGGGCAGGTGCAGGTGTGGAGCTCTAGGAAGTTTGTAAAGGTGGAATCAAGTCAGAATGGGAGTTGGGGCTCAAGTGACACTGGCTGAGCCGTCAACCATGCTGGCCCTCTGGTGCCAGGGATTGAGGAAGAGCGCCAGGACCTGACAGCAGCACTGGGGCTGGTGAAGGAGTTGCTGTCCAATGTGGACCAGGATGTGCACGAGCTGGAGAAAGGGGCTCGCTTGCAGGAGATCTACAACCGCATGGACCCGCGGGCCCAGGCCCCTGTGCCTGGCAAGGGTCCCTTTGGCCGAGAGGAGCTTCTGCGGCGCAGACTCATCCATGATGGCTGCCTGCTCTGGAAGACAGCAACGGGTCGCTTCAAAGGTCAGTGTCATTGTAGAGATGGTGGTGCACACCTAAACCGGGCACTTGGGAGGCTGAGGCAAGAGTACCGAGAGTTTGAGGCAGATCCAGGCTGCATAGCAAGACCATGTCTCAAAAACATGGGTGTGTGGTTCAAGTGATAGAATGTCTGCCTAGCAAGCTTGAGACCCTTACTTCAAAACCCAGTACTGCAAAAAAGAAGGAAAAAAAAAAACTAAAAATAAAAGAATAACAAAAAATAAATAAAAGATTAGTTGTCCTGCTTGGCAGATCCTGCAAGAGTCTGGAATCGGATATAGCGGGAGACACATTCGTCCTTAGGACCTTGTTTTATGCAGGCCTACAGGAGAACAAGACTCATTGGGAGAGAGCTGGGAGCCAGTGGGTTATGCCTGTAATTCTATTTACTTGGGAAGCTGAGATAAGGAAGGATTGAAATTTGAGGCCAGCCCTGGCAAATAACTTATAAGACCCCATCTTCAAAATAACCACAGCAAAATGGACCGGAGGTGTGGCTTAAGCAATAGAGTGCATGTTTTGTAAACCCTAAATTTAAACCCCAGTCCCACCAAAAAAAAAAAGAAGACTCAGTGGGAAGAAAAGATGTTTTTTGTTGCAGTAAAAGTCTGAATTCTGCCTTTACCCTCATGGGCTAGACAAGGACTTGCTTATCAGTATGTATTCATTTCTGTGGTCCTTGCATGCACACAGAGAGCCGTCAATTTTAATGAAGATACAGAAACTCAGACCACAGATAAAGATCAGGGCAGTTGATTCTCCCAATTGAAATCCCAGTCCCCCAGGGTTATAACATGAACTGGGACTTGGGGAATGAAGCCGGGAGGCCTTGAGGAGGGACTGACTGAGCCGAGTGAAGGACAGCAGAGTAGAAGAGAGAATGGAGCAGAATGCTGTGTTGGGGACCAGGGCACTTTCCCAGGCTCAATTTTGAGAATTTGTCTGTACTGGAAAGTTTTTTCACTTAAATCAGGGCAAGAAAATAGCAGCCTCAGCATTAGGTTGAGGAATAGGGGACAAAATTAACTGATACCTGAGGCCAGAGCCTGTCTGAGCCTCCGTATCTATGTCATGAAATCCCCACTCCCAGGGCCTGGGTATTGTCAGTCTTCACCAGGCTCTTTCCGCCATCCTTTTCTCTCCTTCCCGTCTCTCCCACGCAGCAGCTAAGAATATGAAGCATGGGGGGTTAAAAATAGCAAGGCTGGAGAGCTCTATTTCTGAGCATTTAGCAAAAGCTCTCCCCTTCTGTGTGCCCACAGTTTGGTAAGATCCATAAGGGCAAAGGGTGAGTGTGTTTTCTGAACTGTGACATTTAAGTTTTATAGAATTGACCCATGTTCCCTCCACTACCACCACCGTGGTACAGTACAGGACCCTGGAGGAGCTGAGAGCCCTGAGGGTGGGGAGAGAAGGAAAATAAAACAGGGATTATTAGAGATGGATGGGTGAGGGCTGGCCTTTTCAGTCCTCCTTCAGTGGACAAAAATAACTTCCTCCCTCTGCCGAGCATAAAGTGACAAGTGGAGGTGATGGTGGAGTGCCTCTTAGCCCAATCCCAGTGCCACCAGAAGAAAAAAAGTGACAAGTGGGAAAATACAATGGTAGGAAGAATTTAGGTCAGATTCCTATAAGATTTTATATTAACTAGACGTTAGATATGGAACTTAAAGTCTAGAAATAAAAACAGCCCCTCTTGTTCTGGGAATCATAAGGATTCCCAGGCTCAGAAGGACTCATAAATCTTGGACCCAGCTAGGTGTGGTGGCACACACCTCTAGTACCAGATACTCAGGAGGTTGAGGCTGGAGGATCACTTGAGCTCACACGTTTCAGAACAGCCTGGGCAACACAGCAAGACCTTGTATCAAAAACAAAACAAAAAACTCTTAGACTTTTTTTTTTTTTTTTTTTTTTTTGGCAGTACTAGGGCTTGAACTCAGTGCCTACACCTTGAGCTGCTCCACCAGCCCTGTTTTTGTGAAGGGTATTTTGAGATAGGGTCTCATGAACTATTTGCCCGGGCTGGCTTTGAACCTTGATCCTCCTGATCTCTGCCTCCTGAGTAGCTTAGAATTACAGGCATGAGCCACTGCTGCCCGGCTTCTTAGACCCTTTCACCACAAAAATACATGTGTGTTTATATTACTCTTAAAACTGTTTATGTAACTTCAGAGGTTTTATAGAGCCCTTGGAACCGGCAGACAATATCCTGAGGTCTATAAACTCTAGATTAAGAAGCCTTAATCAGCTGGGAAAGGAGTTTTTCTACAAAAAAACATTGGTCCTCTTTGGTCCATGCTTACCCAAAAGGCTGTTTGCATCATGCATCTCTTTCTTCCCTATCATTTCCCTGTTGTCAGAATGAAGAGGTGGGAGGTCTAAAAAGGTGGAGGAAGCAACCAGAGGGAAGAGAGGCCAGGTAGAGGGGAATCGGAGACCCTACAGGATGGAGTAGGCCACGTCCTCAGGAGAGAGAGAAATGACTTCTCAGACCCTCTAATGCTGACCATTCGTCCACCTTTTCCCCTGGCCAGATGTGCTGATGCTGCTCATGACGGATGTGCTGGTATTTCTCCAGGAGAAGGACCAGAAGTATATCTTTCCTGCCCTGGTGAGACTTTTATTGTCCTTTCTTAACAGAAATAAGTATTTCAGGCCCTACTTGCTTCTCTCCTCAAGTCCAAAAGATCTCTAGAGTCTTGCAGAGTCAAACAACAGTTGTAATTATAACAAAAAAGAATAGCTATCATGTATTCTTGTGTGCAGGAATTTTTATGCCTGTAAGGAAAGCCCATTAACATAATCATTTTGTAGATGATAAAAGTAAAGACTAGAGTTAAATAATTTGTCATTTCCAAGTCCTTTCTGGCTGGCACCAAAGCCTATGTTCTTAACTTGTACTGTAAAAGGTATCTTCTTCAATCCTTTTGGGCATGCCAGAATAGAAGATCTAGATACCTAAAGGTGAGGATTCCTAGGTTTAATTCTTCCTTTCCCCCAACAGGATAAGCCTTCGGTGATATCACTGCAGAATTTGATTGTAAGGGACATTGCTAATCAGGAGAAAGGGATGTTTCTGATCAGCGCAGCCCCTCCTGAGATGTATGAAGTGCACACAGCATCCCGGGATGACCGGAGCACCTGGATCCGTGTCATTCAGCAGAGTGTGCGCGTGTGAGTGTGTGTCTGCTGCCTGGATGTACATATGGCCTCAAGTACCTATGGTGTCGGGTCCTAGGCCTCAATACCTCTGGGAATAGAACCCAACTTTCAGAGGAAGAGGCAGAGACTGGAAGAGAAAAAAATGGGCCAAGAGGGCTAAGACCTGTATTCTTAAGTCATATAAAGTCATAGTTTATGTGCTGATAACTCCAGCTACCCTTCAAATGCAGCATAAGCTGACCAGCAAAGGAATACTTACAGCTGTCTCATGGTGGCATATCTGCCAAATAGCAGGACAGTTTTCAGGCACATTAACATCTTGGTCTATAGGCAGAGGGCCATTATTTGGATTGTATTGCATTTTACTTTTATTTTCTAAGAAAATGAGTGAAAAAGAGGGTAATGAAAGCATTGGTACTAGAGAGAAGATGAGTAAGTCTCATCCACAAACTCAGTGCTGTAGAGGCAAGAAGGAAATTCAGCATGTCAAAGTGTTTATGCAACTTCAGAGGGTTTACAGGAACCAGTAGTGGATATCCTAAGGGTCTGGATACCCTCGGTTAAGAAGCCTCAATCACTTTGCTACAGCTGCAGATCTTTAGGACACAGTTAGATTTGTGGTACTCAGCTGTGGGTCTAATTCCAACCAGAAAAGAAGTAGAGCAGGTGAAAGGGATTCTTAAATACTATGGCTACAGAATGAACTAAAAAAAAAAAAAAATCAAACCAAACCAAAAAAATAATGGAATGGACTCTAGGATTCTTCCTCCTGTCTCCTGCTCAATGCTGGGGATCAAACTCAGGGCCTCAGGCCTTGAGATAGACTCCCAGCCCAGGATTTTTATAATCTGTGTAATCCTCTGGAGAGAGATATACTAGTAAATGCAAACAACTGGTGCAAAGAAAGGGAGAAGGTCAACTGTGAATGAAGCCAAAGTGTGAGGCTGAGGTGTGTAGGACGTGTATGGGAGGAAGGGAAGGCTTATACCTGGTTTGTATCCTCATGTCTGTCCCCCACCCTATCTGACCTTTTACCCCTCCAGATGCCCATCCAGGAGGACTTCCCCCTGATTGAGACAGAGGATGAGGCTTACCTGAGGCGGATCAAGAGTAAGTTCACCCACGATCCATTCATGAAGTGATTTGTGATACATCCACGCAAAATACTATGCAACTATTAAAAAGATAAGATAGCTTGAGCTGGTGGATTGTCTTAAGGGGTACAGCACCTGCCTTGGCAAGCATGAGGCCCTGAGTTCATTCAAAACCCAGTACCATCAAAAATACAAAAGAAAACAAAACAACAAAACCAAAAAGATGAGATAGCTCTATGAAAGGCTGATAATAGATTTTTGATTTTTTTTTTTTTGGTGGTACTAGAATTTGAATTCAGGGCCTTATGATTTCTAAGCATGCGCTGTACTCCTTGAGCCAAACCCCTAGCCCCTAATATAGGTAAAATATAAAATGTGTTCTTAAGTGAAAAAAACCAAGGTTTAAAACAATGTAAAGTGTATGCTATGGTTTGTGTAAAAGTAATGGTGGAATATGTACATGTGTATTTGTGTGTGTGGGTATAATATCTCTAGAAAGATAAGCTGTTATAACTATGGCTGCCTCTGGGAAGGGGATCTAGGAAGACTAGGGATGGGCAAGTAATTTACTTTTGTACTGTATAGCCTTATATTTGTTAGGGTATTTATGATCTGCTATACAAAAACACAGTTTCTTTAAAATGTAGAATATTTTTCGCCTTTCTGTTTCCCAAAGTGGGAAAATGTACCTACCATCTTAAATATGAAGCTTTTCTCATTATGTGCGTAGTGTCTACTCCAGCTCCCACTGTCCCATCTGTGTCCCAGCCAGCAGGGAGGAGTAAAGAAATAAGGAGAGTTCATGTCCATTTCTTTTAAGGGAAGATCTGAAAAATGCTCACATCTAAACCCCAGCAGTGTCTTAAGTGCAAGTCAGGCTGAGAAACAGTCTTTTAACTAGTCAACCATGTGATGTGGATTACCTACAACCTTTATCATAAATCTTTTCTACTTCTGTTTTTAAAACAAAAGAGTATGTGTCAGTTTTTTCCCCAATGAAGTTCTTTTTTTTTTTTTTTTTATAAATGCCCAAACAACAGAATTAAGTCCTGCCACTCTGCCTGGTCCCACCCCCTACTCTGGGGCTGCTCTCTGGGCTCTTCTACATGCTCACCTTCTCCTTACCCACAGTGGAACTGCAACAGAAGGACCGGGCACTGGTGGAGTTGCTGCAGGAGAAGGTCGGGTTGTTTGCTGAAATGACCCACTTCCAGGCAGAAGAGGATGGCGGCAGTGGAGTGCCCTTGCCCACACTCCCCAGGGGACTTTTCCGCTCTGAGTCCCTGGAGTGCCCTCGTGGCGAGCGACTTTTGCAGGATGCCATCCGTGAGGGTGAGGGAGCTCCCCGGAAAGAGTCTAGCTTCATGCCCTCACCATCACTAAACATGGACATGCAGCTGGACTGGATGCACAGATGGCGAGGTCATCCCCTCGTCCATAACTACTGACCAGTGCCTGAGAATGGCAGGGGAATGAAGAAGCACTGTCCTTGCTACTGTTTGACACTTTGCATGCTGCATAGGCTTGTGCTGCCCCTTGGGCATCTTTAATGACCTTTGGCTCACACTTGACTGAATGAAATCTCACTGCCTTGTAGAGAGGGCACTTCTTCTGAATATTGTAATATTCCATGTGTGTTGGGTAAATGGGCATGCCCCACAGGGTTCTTTGTCACTTCTCTCCTCACCTCCTCTTTTCCCTCAGTGGAAGGACTGAAAGACCTGCTGGTGGGGCCTGGAGTGGAGCTGCTCTTGACATCCCGAGAACCAGCCTTGCCCTTGGAACCAGACAGTGGTGGTAACACGAGTCCTGGGGTCACTGCCAGTGAGTGCCAGGGCAGGGGACCAAGGTAGTAGGTGGGAGGGGTTGAAAAGAATTGGGGAGAGTGCCAGGGACATAGAGGGGTCAGGGCCCTGGAAGAGTGAGTTCCACCCATCCTTTTCTCTTTCTCAACAGATGGAGAGACCAGATCCTTCAATGGCTCCATTGAGCTCTGCAGAGCTGACTCAGACTCCAGTCAGAAGGTTCGTCCTTGAGGTTGCAGGGCTTGGCTAGAGGGTGGGAAGGGCACAGCTGGCCTGTGACTCCTCAGCACAGAGTTGTCAGGTGCAGGCACTGGGGACTTGTGTGCCTGCTGACTCCCCATCCTTGCCCATTTCTGCAGGATCGAAATGGAAACCAGCTGAGATCCCCCCAGGAGGTGAGATGGGAATTTGGTGGTAATAAGACGGAAAGGAGGGTATTCTCAGCCTGTGACATTATAGCCCAGTTTAAAGTGGTGTGGTATCAGTCTATACCTCAAAGTATCTCTCTCCAGATACTGTTATCCCCATACCCACACTTGTTCAACTTCTGGGCAGTTGTCCTGTTCTGAAGCTTGGGCCCTGTTCCCACCCTCTCCTCTGTCCCTAGGAGGTGTTACAGCGATTGGTCAATCTCTATGGACTTCTTCATGGCCTGCAGGTCAGTGGACAAGGACCGGAATAGGGAAGAAGGGAAGCAGCCAAGTTAGAGGTGCCCATGTGGGTGGGCAGTCACCTTAATAGGCCTTTCTAAGTATTCCTGCAAGCCAAACTCTCCGGAGTGATGATGTGGGTCCTGGGGGTTGAGGGTAAGGGCTAGAAGGAAACAGAGTTTTCTAATACACCTTTCTTTCTCCATCCTACGCCTAGGCGGCTGTGGCCCAACAGGACACTCTGATGGAAGCCCGGTTTCCTGAGGGCCCTGAGCGGCGGGAGAAGCTGACCCGAGCCAATTCTAGAGATGGCGAGGGCAGCAGGGCTGGGGCTGCCCCTGTGGCTCCTGAAAAGCAGGCCACAGAGCTGGCGCTACTACAGCGGCAACATGCACTGCTGCAAGAGGAGCTGCGGCGCTGCCGGCGACTGGGCGAAGAGCGGGCAACTGAGGCCGGCAGCCTGGAAGCCCGGCTCCGGGAGAGCGAGCAGGCACGGGCTCTGCTGGAGCGGGAGGCTGAAGAGGCTCGAAGGCAGCTGGCCGCCTTGGGCCAGAATGAGCCACTCCCAGCCGAGGCTCCCTGGGCCCGCAGGCCTCTGGATCCTCGGAGGCGCAGCCTTCCTGCAGGCGATGCCCTATACTTGAGCTTCACACCCCCACAGGTAAGGTGGTGTGGGGTAGTGAAGTGACCTGGCATCCATTAGGGTCCATACAACCTGAAAGATATGGGGCTAATGGGGATTTGAGCCAAATGAAACTAGGCAACAGATTTGAATGATATGAATATCCCAAATTGAAGAACTAAAAAGAAATTTAGGGCTGGGGGTGTAGCTTGTTGATAGAGTGCTTGCCTAGCATGTGCAGTTGCCAGCACTGCAAACAAGCAAACAAATCCACTGTATTCTCTCATAAGTCCCACATTGTTTAGTCTATGCATGGTGTAGTGGGTGTCTGTCTCAGCACTCAGGAGGCTGAGGTGGGAAGATCATCTGGGTCCATTGGTTTGAGACCAGCATAGACAACATAGCAAGACCCCATCTCAAAAAAGAAAAGAAAAAAATGTAGAGGGCACAGGGATGAGTGTTGAAGGAAAACAGCCTGGGAGATCACACTGAAAGAAATCAGTGGTGCTGATGGAATGGCTCAAACGGTAGAGCACCTGCTTAGCAAGCATGAGACCTGAATTCAAACCCAAGTACCAACAAAAAAGAAAGAAAGAAAGAAGTTGATGGTGAATCTACTTCAGTGGAGAGTGTGTTAGGTTCTGGTGGGTCTGCTGCCCTCAGCTAAGCAGAGCCTGTAGTCTTCATGCTGCTCATCCCCTGGTCTGCTGTTTTTCTTCCTGCTGTCCATAGTCCAGCCGAGGCCATGACCGCCTGGATCTGCCTGTGACTATTCGCTCTGTCCACCGACCCTTTGAGGACCGGGAGAGGCAGGAGCTGGGTAGCCCTGACGAACGGCTTCAAGACAGCAGTGACCCTGACACAGGCAGTGAGGAGGAAGGTAGCAGCCGTTTGTCTCCACCCCACAGTCCACGAGGTAAGACCCTGGCAGGGTTGTGGAGTAGAGGTGGGCCAAAGCCTGGGTATAAACCTTAGACTGTGGCTTCGAAATGCTCTCTGACTGATGTCCATAGTAACACTTGGGAGAGACAAGGAAGTCTTAAGTCTTCCTATTCTTTCTGACAAGTTGGTGCTGGAACCCTAGAAGACAGAGCGTGGGGAAGGGTTTTTCTTTCTCCAATTGGTTGGTGACTTTCAGCCTTTTCAAGTAGAAATCAATTTTTCAAGTCCTAATTCAGAAAATACAAGATAATCAAACAGCTACTTTATTTCATGTTTTTTGTTTTTGTTTTTTTTTGGTGATTCTGGGGTTTGAACTGATGGCTTCACACTTGGAAAGCAGATGCTGTACCACTTAAGCCATACCTCCAGTCCATTTTTGCTCTGGCTATGTTGTAGATGGGGTCTCATGAACTGTTTGCCCATGCTGGCCTCCAACTGAGCTCCTCCTGATCTCAGCCTCTCAAGTAGCTAAGATTACAGACGTGAGGCACTGCAGCCCAGATTTTATTTCATATTAGAATGGTAAAAAATACTTGTATTTTATAAATCAAATTGTATCTGTATACCAAGGACCTAGGTGGGCCTCGCTGCTGACTTTGTTGACCCATTTTTCTTTCACCAGAGAGTTCCTCCCTTCACAGTTGAGGAGGCAGTAGTTCCTCTTGGGAGAACTGCTCACTCACTGGCTTTACCTTGTCCCTCTTCAGACTTCACCCGAATGCAGGACATCCCGGAGGAGACAGAGAGCCGAGATGGGGAGTCTGTCGCTTCAGAGAGCTAAGGAGGCCCCTCCCCCTCCACCAAGAGCCCCACTGAAGAACATTACTAAGGGGGCAAACCTTGGGGACTCTAATCTACCAATGATGAGGGAACATTTGAAAGAACTGCTGATTGTCCTTGCCAGCTCTTGGGATCCTTGGATACCTGGGGCCATTTAGGAAGCTGGGGGATCTAGGCCACAATACCCCATTGGTGGCATCCAAAAGCTACACCACAGATGCCAATTTTTCATGCCTTCTTCCCTCTATTTTAGAAAAATTTATTTATTTATTGTTTATTAGTTATGGGGGAGAGAGGAGATTTAAAGGACCAGAGACATGGGAACCAAGCCATAGGGATCAGAGGGCCTTGTCCTTTAACACTACTGGGGTGTGTTTAGGTTTAGCCATGCAGCCTGCTGGGTTCTAGCCTGACACCCTCCCCAGCAACATGCATCTTTAAAGAGGCTGCAACCACAGGACCAACCTACTGTCCCTTAGAGGAGGGCTGTGGGCAGGACCATGTCCCTCTCCCCACTCCCCTTGCCCTCCTACTGCTGTTCTCCCTTCTCTCCATCTTCCATGGAAACCTCAGGGAGATAACCTGACTTCCTAGAGTTGATGGAATAGAGGTTGGGGTGGCCATAATGGTTTGTTGGGGGTGAGGGAAAAACCCACAGGGACCAGAATGTTTTGTTGTTTTCTTTTTTTTGTACCAAAGCCAACTGCACGTGTTTTATATTTTTAAGAGAAGATTGTAGGCACTTAGAGATCATAGCCTTCTATCTCCATATCTCTGAACTTGAGGAGTGGGGGAGATAGTGACTACCCCCTTCATCTGCAGTAATGGGGCTCCTATTCTGACCTCTTCCTCAGCCATTTGGAAGAAGTTCTAGGGTGGGTTGGGAAATCTCTATGAACCCTAACCTCATCTCCCACCTTGACAACCATGACCTGAAACCTCAACGTGAATTTGGGGGATTTTTCAATAGAACCCCCATACCCACCAGCTCTGGCTATTTTTCTGCCAATTCGATGTTAAAAAAAGATCAAGCAGGAAAAATTAAAGGCCTGAAACCCCATGAGGTACTGTTTTGTACTGTCTGCCAGTTCTAGGTAAGGGTGTTGGTGATGGTGGGGCAGGTAGTGACCTGTGTTTCTCTAAAGGATACTTTAATTCTTACCTGAAGGGCACCTCTACCTCATTGAAAAGATGGAGGCACTAAGAATCAAAGCTGCTACAGATCTTTTTTACAGATTCATAAATACAAGGATAAAGATGAAGTGGTGCTGCGGTTTCAGTGACTGTTGGGGACTCTAATATTAGAATTCATTTGTATGCTGTGTTTGCAAATCATGCCCTCCTCTTGCCCTTTTTCTTTTGGCAACAGTTCCTGTTACCCTCTCCCCAGTGCCATTCATTTTCAGAGTCAGCCCCCACCCTGCCCTAGTTCATGTCCAGCATCAGAGCCCTGGACTGACCACTCATAGTTTCTGGTCATTCTCTTTGCCTCTTGGAGAGATTAACTGGTTTCAGTTCTTGATTTGGGTTTGATTAACTTCTTGTTTCTGGTGGGTCCCCTACACTTAGGCTGTGGGGGAGGATTGGTAGTGAAAGCCTAGGGTTGTGTCCATGCTGGTGTGCATACACATCTCCATGCAACCTGTGGGGTAACATGAGAAGAATGGGGCTAGGGACCCAAGCTAGAAAGGAACTGAAATTGCATGGGGGTGGGACAGGCTTGGGAGAACAGCTGGCACTTTCACCATCATAGGCCTTACAAGTGCTCTTTCATTCATTGTGGGACTCCTAAGAAGTAAGAATCGTTCTCATTTTATATACTGGGTGCAAAAAAGTTGCCAGGCCAGGGTAGTCAAGCTAGGAAGGAGCCAGTCCTAGTTCCAGCCCCTGTACACCCCTCACTTGGCTATTCTGCCTGAAAATATCAGGACTTCAAGTCTAAAATGCACTGACACAGGGCTCAAGAACCCTATTCCATGTCAGCATGAAGCAGCTAGAACCCAAACATGTAAAGGTAAGAGTGGAAGATTGACAGTGGAAGAATGTTAGACAGCATCCAAAAAACACCTAGAAAAGAGTATGGTTCCCCAACATTTCACCAATCCAGAAGAGAAATGGAAAAACCTGAAGACATGCTAGAGCATGAGTTTGGAGAAGGCCACAGCTCACTGGAGGGCAACACTGCTTTCTACCACTCCTTTACCAAAACCCCCTTTTGGTCTTCAGCCCCCAAAATGGTGCCTAGGCATTTCTCTGATATGCCTGTTCCTGGCAACCAGCCTCCTCCCATCTTTCACTAATTTTGTTCCTTGGCCCCTCCTAATCCCATGTTTGAGAACTCAGTCTGTCCCTCCTGCAGCAGTTTCAAAGTTCTGTGGCTTTGTGCTCCAGGGAGCCAGGTCCAGTCCCTTCCCAAAGCATTGCTTCTTAACATTCTTAAGAGGAGCTCTGAGCCTGCCCTGCCAACCCTACCCAGCCCTCTTCCATCACTGCACCTTCCTCTCCCTCTTCTGCCCCCCTCCAAAGGTAGGTCTACACGCATTCACTCATCTCTGTAAATTTTGTCAATATTTACTTCTGCGTCCCATAAAGCAGAGATGCCCCCAGAAGAGCCAATATCCGGAGCTCAGCCAGGACATAGGAGGAGGTGCTTGGAGTGGGGAATGAATACTTGGGTAGGGGAGGATTTTCCATCTTCCTGAATTGCTGGGAACAGACCTGGAGTTTTGGAACCAGTTTAAACATTATCAGACAAAGGAAATTAAACATCAAGAGTAATTAAATCTCTTTCCCATTGCTTAATATGTTGTGAATTAGGCAGCTCTTCAGAGCTACTCAGCAACTGAGTTGGAAGGAGTGCCTGGAGGCATTGGGGCCTCCCCTCCAGAGGGGGCGCTGCTGTTCCAGGACCTTGACTGGCCAGTGTTGTCCTGGCTGGTCACACTGGATTACAAGGCTTGGTCCTAAAGGGAATAGGTAGGCAAAGGAAGTGGGAGCTCTACCCCATCTTCCCTCTTTTTCAAATGCTGCCCCAAAAAAGCCTTTATCACAGATGTGTCTCAACCTGAAAAACAAAGGAGAGCCCTTTGCCCTGGAAGAACATCTTCAGGAATGGGGTGAGGGGCCATTGTACTCCATTCAGAGCATGTGGAACCATCCCAGACAAGACTTTCTTTTTTTTTTGTGGTGACACTGTGGTTTAAACTCAGGGCATCACACTTGCTAGGCTGGTGCTCTACTACTTGAGCCACTGTCAGCCCTTTTTTGTGTTGGGTACTTTGTAGGTAAGGTTTCATGAACTATTTGCCCAGGCTGGCTTTGAACCATGATCCTCATAATCTCTGCCTCCTAAGTAGCTAGGATTACAGGCATGAGCCATGAGCCACTGGCACCTGGCAAGACTTTTTGTTTTTTTTAAGGCACAGTCCTGCCATGTAGCCCAGGCTATATAGCCTCCCAACTGCCAGGATTACAGGTGTACACTACCATGTATGGCCCAGACAAGACTTCAGTTGGTCCCTTGTGTCTCAGCTGCCTCCTTGCTTCTTCATTTTACATGAGATTTGAAAATAATACTCTATTTCAGGCACTGTTGAATTCTCAAACAGCCCATTTTACACATTAGAAAACAGGTAATTTACAGGGAGGTGAAGTAATTTGCCCAAGGTAAAGGTACAAATCTATGTGTTCTGACATGAGTTGATAGAGCTATGTGTCTGGTGGAGAAAGGGAAAGACTAGCTCTCCTGGGCCTGTCTTCACCACCCTTTTCATTATCCCACCTCCCTTCACCCCACCCATGCTTTTATTATCTCTTGTCGTGTTCTAATTTAAGGAGAGATGCAGGTATTCCCAATCTGCATCAGAGTTTTATACCCAGTCTAGCAGGTGCCAGTTCTCCCTACAGGGGAACCACAGGTTTTGAGGCTGAGGCCTCTGCTGGCATCATATTTCTGTGGGTACTTTGGTATGGTAAGAAGAGCAGTATGACCACAGGAATAGGGTGTTTTTGGCCTTGATATCAGAGAAGAAAAAGGGAAGGATAGAAAGGGTAGACAGTGAGATGGGCACTAACTTCTGATTCATTAGCCTAGACCCCTAAGGAAAAGTTCCTGGGAATCCTTACAGAAGGCAGAAATGTGGCAAAAAACATCCCGCACTGAACTGGAGGTAGAGCTGAATAAGAGGTCAAGACATTTTGTGGATAATCCAGAGGTTTATTCTCAGTTCCTCTTCTTTCCCATGTCCAGATAGAGACTAAAGCTTTGTCATGCCCAACCCTGACTGGGGCCCTGGCCTCCCCCGTTCCACCACACCCAGAGTTGGTGGCCAAAGATCAGGCTTTTCCTGAGGACGCTGCAGCCTGGCAGAGAGGACAGCCTCTCCATAGGGTATGTGCGTCCTGCACCTGGCAGATCCCAGAAGGAGAGCGTTTTAGCTTGCACCCTTCACCCAGGGGTCCCTTCACCCAGGTTCATGAGCATGGTAGAAGGGCCACTTTCGTGGGGGGTGCTCACAACCCTCCGCCTGCCTACCTGCTTTAGGGCCATTTGTTCCACCCAGCCCTGGCCCTGGGGCCACAGCCTTGATCGCAGATCCCTGAAAGTGTCTACCAGAGCCTGCCGGGACTCCTGCCGCAGAAGACAGTAGAGCACAGGGTTGAGGCAGCTGTTACTATGTGCCAGGCATGTGGTGACAGGGAAGACGTAGGTATGGATGGTGTAGAAGGTGCTGTCCCAGGGTACAAGGTCAAACTTCACCAGGATACCCCAGAGAGTGACCACGTGGTTGGGGAACCAGCAGAGGAAGAAGGAGGCCACCAGGATACGGACAGAGCGGGCCACAACTCTGCTGTCTTGCCGTCGTCGTTGCCTCCGCCGCAGGAAAGCCAGCAGCAGCAGGTAGCTGGTGGTGATGATGCCCAAGGGCACCATGAAGGCCAAGACCACCCTCTGCAGCTGGTAGGCCCCCAGCCAATACCTGCTGGGGAAGCGCAGCAGGCAGAGGCGCACCCCCCACACTTCACCCTCAGCCCCAAAGATAGCTGTGGGCACTGTTGCCAGGGCAGCTGCTACCCACACTGCCAGGGTGGCCACACGGGCCCAGAAGAGTGAGAGATGACTGCCTGGCCCTGCAGCCATGGCCACCACCCAGTATCGAGCAACGCTCAGTGCTGTGATGAGGAAGATGCTGGCGTAGACGTTGAGGACAGTGGCTGTCAGGACTGTCTTGCAGAGAGCACTTCCAAAGGGCCAGTGGAAGTCCAGTGCTGACTCAGTTGCCCAGAAGGGGAGAGTGAGGGCCAGCCCCAGGTCTGCCAGTGCCAGGTTGAAGACGAAGGTGTCAGAAGGTGTGCCAGGAGCTCGCCGAACACAGTTACCCAGGACCCACAGCACAGCCAAATTTCCCACCAAGCCAATGGTCCCCACAAGCCCATAGGCCAAAGCAACCATGACCCTCAGGGTGAGGAACTTGATAGGCATCGCAGCATCATCAGCACTCAGCACACTGCCTTCAGAGGTGTTGACCCAGAAGAACGTGGGCAAAGGGGCAGAAGTATTGAGTGTGGGCATTGCAGGGCATCAGAGGGTGGTGCTGAGTAGAGGGGTCAGCAAGTGCCTGCCAGGATGGCAGTGCCCTCAGCAGGAGGCCTGGGATCTGAGGGTTTCTCTGGGGCCTCTAGCTGCCAGGAGCCCGGCCCACGCCCACACCTTAGAGGGAGGGGTGTGGGTGGAACAGCCTACCCCTTCCCTGTTGGGCAAGATTGGTTGTGGGTGGAGCACAGCAAGGAAGAGATTGTGTGTGTGTGTGTGTGTGTAAGAAGGGCTCTATGCAACAGAGGAAGGGGAGAGGGGCAGTTAGCCCACTGCAGACAGCAGCCCCAATCCTCCACCCCAGGAAGAGAGCTGCAGATGACAAAGATCCCACTATTCCAAACAGGTGCTGAACCTGCTCTGCAGAAAGTGTTCCTAAGGCACTGGCGCAGAGGTATAGAGGCAGGAAACCAGAGTGGATGTCAGAGAGAGGAACAAGTACAGACCATGGAGTCCCATGCCTGCTACTCACTAGCCATTTGCCTTTGGTTACTTTACTCATCTGAGGCTGTTTCTTTGCTTAAAATTTCAGGGGTTAGTTGGGTGTGGTGGTGCACAACTGTAGTCCCAGCTACTTGAAAGGCTGGGGCAGTAAGATCCACCTCAGCCTAGGAGTTAAAGTTCAGCCTTGGCAACATAGCAAACCCAGTCTCAAAAAAATATTTTTGGCTCAGCACCATGTCTCACACCTGTAATCCCAGCCACTTGGGAGGAAGAGATAGGAGGATCAAGATTTGAAGCCAGCTTAGACAAAAAAGTGTAAGATCCTTTCTCACAGAACAAGCCAGGCATGAGTATTCATGCCTGTAAACCCAGGTGAGGAAGGCAGAGGAGAAGCACAGTTGGAAGCTGGCCCTGGGCAAAAATGCAGGATCCTATCTGAAGAAAAATAACTAAAAGCAAGAAGGGCTGGAGGCATGGCTCAAGTGGTAAAGAGCCTGTCTGGCAAGCATGAAGCCCTGAATTCAAATCCCGGTGTTACTAGGGGTGGGGCTCAGTAGTGGGATGAAGGCTTAGCATGTTCCTATCCCTGGGTTTAATCCTCAATACCAAAAAACAGAATCAGATAAACATCTCTGTCACAGGATTGGTGTGATGAATGAACCAACTTATGTCTTTGCCTGAATGGCAAAGGAGAAGTTTGGGGTGTCTGGGGAGGAAGGGAGCAGGACACTGAGCAGCTTTTGTTATCATGCCCAAGGAGCAGTGCCAACTAAAACACAGGTTGGAATTCATTGCAGCAGCAAGTGACCTTGAGGCTAACTAAGAACAGGGAGGGAAAGGAGAAAGGAAGTCACAGTTTCCTGTTCCCTCCCTCTGGGAACACCCGACTGTGGGGACCTAGGTAGACCTGGGCATGCTCTCGGTGGTTCTGATCCTGTTCCAGATTATGAAGTAGTCCTGCCAACCTCTACTTCTTCTTCTGTTGCTTCCCATTGCCCCTCTAGCTGTGGAGCCAGAGCTCACTACTAACCCCTCTCCTCCATTTCTAAAGCCCACTTCAGAGCTATGCAGCCCTGAGACATGTCCTCACCACGCCTCATCCTGTCTCCCCATGACCTCAGTCCCAAGAGTACAAATGCCTCACTAGGCCATCCCCTTTCATTGCCCACATCTACTTGCTGTGATGGGGAAGAATGGGGGAAATGGGTAGGGAAAGGTGAGGCTTTTCAAGCTTTCTGACATACTTAGCACTTTGCCCTCCACTGGTCAAGACAATGTTTAACGTTCAGTTCTCTTGGGGTGCTAAGGGAGCAAAGGGGCCTTTTGGAACAATAAATTGGTACTATGTCTGATAACCCCATGTAAGACTTGCAGAAGTAAGAGAGATTCAGACTGGTGCCAGGATGTTTGGGGTTTTGAATCAGGGATGGGCGTGAAGGGGGGAGCAGAAGGGAGGTTAACCAATCCCAAGTTAGGTGAGCCCCTCAGGCTACCTCCCAGCATCCTGGACCACTCCTGTGTGACTTCATGCCAGTTACTCATCTCTCAGAACCCTGTCTCTTCTGCCCACCCAGAATTACATTGCCAGTCTAGTAGTTTAGGGAGCCTTGGGCTAGGAGCGTAGCTCAGTGGGAGAGCCCTTGCCTAGCACGTATAAAGCCCTGGGTTTCATCCCAACACTACAAGAAAAATAAATAAAAAGATAACTTTTATGTGTTGGATTATTTTTCTCTTGGCTTAGAGAAAAGAAACTGGGCCAGATTTCTAGGGTTCTGCCATCCCTTTAAAATATCTGTTTCCTCATCATTTCTTTTTTTATCTTTATTCTTTCCTAGTCTTAAAGCCTTTCCCTTAAACTGAGACCATCAACACCCCCTTGTGGTTATGTAGAGCGGTAATGCCACTGGCTGGCCATGTGTATGAACTTTATTTTCCTAGCCATTAGTTCGTTCATTCATTCGTTCATTCAGTCATTCATTCACTCACTCACTCATTCACTCATATATTAACTATTATGTCCCAGGCCCTGCGCTAGATTCTGGGAAGACAAAAACAAAAGGTCACTCTCATAGAATAAACTTTATTTTTTGGTTGTTCTTGGGCTTGCAAAGCAGGTGAGCTACACTTCCAGTCCATTTTGCTCTGATTATTTTGGAAATGGGGGGTCTCATGAAGTATGTGTCAGGGCTGGCCTTGAACCTCGATCATCCTGGTCTCAGCCTCCCAAGCAACTAGGATTACAGGCGTGAGCCACCAGTGCCCTTCTTTTGTATCTTCACAAAAGGCATTTTTCAGCTGGGTGCTGGTGGTGCACGTCTATAATCCCAGTTATTCAGGAGGCAGCGATCAGGAGGGTTGCGGCTTGAAGCCAGCCTGGGCAAATAGTTTGTGAGACCCTATCTTGAAAAAAACCCATCACAAAAAAGGGCTGGTGGAGTGGCTCAAGGTGAAGGCCCTGAGTTCAAACCCCAGTACTGCAAAAAAAAAATTAATGGGCTGGGGATTTGGCCAGTGGTAGAGCGTTTGCCTAGCATGCATAAGGCCCTGGGTTCAATCCCTAGTACTGGGAGGGAGGGGGGAGGAAGGGAGGGAGAGAAGGGGGGAGGAAGGAAAGAAGGGAGGGAGGGAGGAAGGTAGGAAGGAAGGAAGGAAGGAAGGACAGACCAGATGACTTAGAAGAAGCTAACTGTATCCCCAGCTCTAGGAGCTGATCCAAATTAGTTTAATCCAGTCACAATACAAGCATTTTAAGCTGGATGTGGTGGCACATGCCTATAGTCCCAGCTACACTGAGGGAGGATTGTGTATGTGGAACACACAATCTGTCAGTCTGGGCTACACAATGAGACTTTATTTTTAAAAAAAGACTGCAATTGAGTCAAGAGCAAGGCTTAAGCTAATCAATACATGATAATGCCCAATTAGATCAAAATGGAGGAAGATTTGTATTCTGTGAGTGGCAAGGAGGACTTCTTTCTTTTGTAGGACGTAAACACAGAGCACACACCCAGTTGGTCATCTTGTCACCATGAAGAAAGCCCGTCTAAAGACAAGACTTCCTATGGAAGCTGGCAGAGAAACAACATGCACTCTCTTTGGACTTGTAGTTATGGGAAATGATACATTTTATTATTGCTTAAGTCATTTTGTAATTTACAATGAGAAACGCACTGGCTCAAATCCAGAGGGATGCAGAATTGGTCAATAGCAACTTTTAGTGCAGAAGGGTCACACCTTTTAGTACATTTATTGCTTACTGGAGTAAGAAACAGAGATGTTAGGTAAACCCTTCTCTCCAAGCCAAGCAGACTGAAAGTCTACTTGTAGGATTTGGGGGAAGCTGGAGTTCAGGGATTGGCAGACTTTGGAGACTTAAGTAGATATGCATTATCTGTAGAAGGTGGAGACTGTGTTGATTGGTTGGCATTCAGTGGCCAGTTTTTTGGAGATCATCTTACTTTCAGAAGTGAGGGGCTGACATTGATTGGATAAATGGTGTTCACTTGAATAAATTGGTGTGGATTGATTCAACCCTTTAGCTACTAATTACCACAGCTACAGAATAATCAAATCATTCTTTTTGTAAGTTCATGGGAACTTTTTGATCTCAGAGGAGTATCCCTCTTCCCTCTCCTCGTGACTTCTTAAATTCTTTTCTTCCCAGATAATGTCAGTCACTCACTTCCTCTCAGTTTTTTGAACTCAGGGCCTCATGCTTATTAGGTAGGTGCTTTACCATTTGAGCCACTCCACCAGCCCTCCCATGGCTCTTTTATCTCAAGTAAGCAAAAATCTTCCTGAGCTGTCTCTAGTATGACAAAGACATCCAAGGACAATGATGGTGATTATGCAGAGTCCTTGAAAATTCCTCACCCTTTTGCTTCTCTTCCCAGCCTGCTCTGCAGTGGGTGGAATGCTGGCCTTCAAGATTCTGAGTGCATCTCTACATTTTCAGTTGATCTGAATGAATTCAGATGAGGTAATGGGAAAACATAACAGTGCAGCCCTTGGGAAAGTTCTTTTTGTTTCTCATTGGGTTCCTGTTTCTGTTTCTGTCAGTACCTGTGCTCTCTCCTCCTGCTTGTCTCCACAGACTACATTCTCTGCCTGCTCTTCTTGGGCATTCCCAGGAGTTACTGTAATCCCGACACCCCAGCATGACCTCTAGCACCAGTGATTGTGAGTGACCACAATCACTGACCACAATCACTGAGTTCTTTGATTCGGAAAATCCCTGGGGAAGTGTATCTTCTCAGTCCTTCATCTAGAAAGCCAAACCCTTGGCTTAATTCCTCTGTGCACATTAAGTCATGATGGAGGCAGGATAGTCTTTGCAGAGCCTGTGGAGGGGTAGGATCTGGAGAAGGGGGTGTACGTGGGGCAACCAATGAAACAGCACCTACCTCCTCTGCCTTCCTTGCACGCACTCACTTCTCATTCAAATAGTTCTAAAGATACCTCTTCCATTGACATGATCCAGTTTTTTGTAAACAACCATGAATGTCCACCCTTCTCCAAAGAAAAATGATTCAAAGCCCAGTCCAATATTGCACCCAAGAGAGTGTGATGGGGCCTATTTCATCATTCTATAATCTGTTTCTTCTGTAGTTCCATATCAGTTCTGAGTATCCTATACCCTTACAAAATAAGCACCCAGACATAAGACATCTGATGATCAATAATGGGAAAGACAAATAATTATGAAATAACTATTAATATTTTAATCTCTTTATTTAAAAAAATATTATAAATCGACAAATTACAATTATATATGTTTATAGAATACAAAGTGATATTATGACATACATATAGTGTGGAATGATTAAATCGGCTATTTAACACATAAATCACCTCAAATACCACTTTTTGTGAGAACATTTGAAGTATATGCTCTTAGCAATTTGAAATATACAATATAGACTGGAGGTGTGGCTCAAGCAGAATACCTGGTTTGCAAGGGTGAAGCCCTGAGTTC